CCCCCCCCCCCCCCCCCTACATGCCTGATTGATCTCCCATCCCTACTGTCGAAGAAGACAAAAAAAGGATCTCTCTCCCATCCCTACTGTCGAAGAAGACAAAAAAGGGACCTCTCTCCCATCCCGACTGTCAAAGAAGGTTAAGAAGAAGAAGAAGAAGAAGAAGAAGAGTCTTTATCCCCCCTCTCCCTCTTGCCGACCCTCATTCCCGCCGTGTTCCCGCCCCTGCAGATCATACCCCTATATATCATTAAAAGAAACAAAACTCGGGAAAAACTCATACTTTATTAGGGGAAAAAAAAAAAAAAAAACAGATACCAGGCCCACATAATAGCGCACGCTGTTGGGGCAGGGGGGGCAACCTGAACCCCTGTAAGTTTGTGAGGCACCTATGCTTGCAGGGGTCCCCTCTACTACGCTTGCAGGGGTCCCCTCTATATACCCTTACGAGGACTCGTAGGTACGTAGTGAAAGGCGAAACAATAATTTGAGAGAAGAATATAGTGTAGTTAAAGAAAAGAAAAAAAAACACCGCACCGAGCCCACAGCCTACGTAGGACCGCACCCACTCCACATAGTTACCTCTCCCAGTCCACAGCCCACCAAGCCCACATAATAGCGCACGCTGTTGGGGCAGGGGGCAACCTGAACCCCTCTTAAGTTTGTGAGGCACCTATGCTTGCAGGGTCCCCTCTATATACCCTTACGAGGACTCGTAGGTAGGTAGTGAGAGGCGAAAGAATAATTTGAGAGAAGAACATAGTGTAGTTAAAAAAAATAAAAATAAAAAAATAAACTACGGCACCGAGCCCACAGCCTACGTAGGACCGCACCCACTCCACATAGTACCTCTCCCAGTCCACAGCCCACGTAGTATCCCACCTAGTAAACATAGTACGGCATCCAACCCTCGTGCTACCAGGCCCAGCCCGCATAGTACCACACCCAACTCACCCCACACATAGTTGCACACCCAGCCCACATGGTATCAGATCTGGCCCACATAGTACCGCACCCACCCCACATAGTACCTCACCCACCCCACACACCCCACATAGTACCGCACCCACCCCACATAGTACCGCACCCACCCCACATAGTACAGCAACCAACCCACTGCCCACATAGAACTGCGCTCATAGAGTACATCAAGCCCATATAGTGCTGCAACCAGCCCAATGGCCACGTAGTACTGCATTCAGCCCACATAGTACCATACCCAGTCCACATAGTTTCCTACCCAGCCCGCAAAGTGCTTCACCCAGCCCACAAAGTACTTCATCCAGCGCACGAAGTACTCTACCCAGCCCACAGTACCACTACTCTACCCGGTCCACATACTACTGCACCCAGGCGCTAATAGTACCACACCCGGCCCTCACAGTAGTATGGTACCCAGCCCACATAGTACTGTTCCCAGCCCGTATAGTACTGCATCCAGACCATGTCGCTCTGCACCTGGCCCACATAGTACAACCCAGCCCCCATAGCACGAGCCCACATCGTAGCACCCAGTGCCCATAGCACGGCCCACATAGTACTACGTGGTACTATGTGCATTGTGTGCTATGGGCACTGGGTGGTACTATGTGGGCCGGGCGTACTACGACGGCCTGCAGCGTAGTACCCAGCGTCCATAGCACACGTCCCACATAGTACCACGTCGCACCACACAGCCCACATAGTGCTGCACGTGGCCTGCATACGACCATACCCTGCCCTACATTCTATTGTGCCCTGCAGATAGTACTGGACCCGGCACATTATATTGTGCTGCATCTGAGCAGCAATGTGATCTGATATTTGTCATGTGTTTTCGTTCTTTATCTCTTCTGATTTGTTAATAGAGACATGGACATGCGAGCTCGTAACAGCACAGTGACTCTTTTCGTGATGGTTTCCTAAGGTATTGCTCGGCTCTGAAGATGTCAGACCACTCGGTACTTGCTGAGAAGTCTGAGAACGCTGAGAACGCTGAACACTCTGAGAACGTTGAGAAGGCTGAGCAGCACTCTGAGAACGCTGAGAAGGCTGAGCTGAACTCTGAGAAGACTGAGAACGCTGAGAACACTGAGAAGGCTGAGCAGCACTCTGAGAACGTCGAGAAGGCTGTGCTGCACTCTGAGAAGACTGAGAACGCTGAGAACGCTGAGCACTCTGAGAACGCTGAGCACTGTGAGAACGCCAAGAAGGCTGAGATGCACTCTGAGAACAACGAGAAAAACGCTGAGCAGCACTCTGAGAACGCTGAGCAGCACTCTGAGACAGCTGAGGTGCACTCTGAGACCGCTGAGCTGCACTCTGAGACCACTGTGCTGCACTCTGAGACCGCTGTGCTGCACTCTGAGACCGCTGAGCAGCACTCTGAGACCGCTGAGCAGCACTCTGAGACCGCTGAGCAGCACTCTGAGAACGTTGAGCAGCACTCCGAGAACGCTAAGCACTTTGAGAACGACAAGAAGGCTGAGCAGCACTCTGAGAACAACGAGAAAAAAGCTGAGCAGCACTTTGAGAACGCTGAGCATCCTCAGAGCAGCAGTGTGAACTTGGACCACGTGCAGAACGCTAGGCATTCTGAGTGCTTGTACAATGGCGGAGAGTCTGAGCACGCTGAGAATGCTGAGCACTCTGAGGACGCTGAATGCTCTCAGAACAGCGCTGCGCACATCGGCCGTTCTCAGAACGCTCAACACTCTGACTACTCGAAGAATTTCGGACAGTCTCGGCGCTCTGAGTACGCTGGCCGCTCTGAGAACGCTGAGCACGCTGAGAACGCTGAACACTCTCCGAGCCGCACTATGCACTCCCGATGCCCTCAGAATACTGAGAATGCTCAGTGTGCGAAGAATGCCCGACAGTCTGAGCACCATGAGAACCCTGAGCACGTTGGGGATGCTGGGAACGCTGGATGCCATCAGCAGCCTGACGACAGCGGGGTCTCGTCGGGATCCTCATCGGGACCGGGGGACGTTGGATGGTTGGGATTGGTTTTAAATGGGCTCGAGATCGACAGCGACGAATGTGAACCAGTTGGTAGAAACTCAGAGACTGTGGTGGATGAGCTGGCGGAGGAGTTGGCGGTGCTTAAAGCGTCGGATGTAGGTGATCTGCAGTCGTGTGGGGTGGGGCCGATGCAAGGTGGTCGGTCTCTCTTCAATGGTGGAGCAAATCTAGCCGTTGGATATCGATTCAAATGGTATTCGAAATGGGAACCTATCTATGTTTGTCAGCTACCTCAGAGAGGCTTGTCGTTCCAGCTATGGCCGTCGGCTCAAGTGATGTGCTATTTCCTTGAGACGATGAGCCAACTCGCAAACTGGTATCCTTTGCCGGGGAAGAATGTTGACAGTGCCAACATAAACATTGGGGACAAGATTATGGATAAGGGTAATGATAAGAAGATTACGGATACGGTTACGGATAAGATTAAAGATAAGGAGATTGAGTTTGTCACTAAGCAAGTGCCTTGCCGCGGTGCGGGAATCAGCCTTGTCGTGGGTATGCAAACTCAGTCACTGGAGACCGATGGCAGTGGGAATTTGGCCAGTGATGATGACGCGGACTTTCCGGATAAGGTTAAGGATAAGGTTGTGGATAAGGTTGTGGATAAGGTTGATTTTGTCTCTAAGCAAGTTCGTCTTCCCGGCCCAGGAATCGGCCTCAGTTTAGATACGCGAACTTCCTCGTCAGAGACCGATGGAATTGAGCAATTGGCCAGTGATGACGTGACACGCGGAGAGAATAGCAATCGGTCCATTGATGACGTGGTAGCTTGTGCAGCAACAGGAGTGGAAGCAAGAGAAGCACACGCAGCAGCAGCAAAAGCAAGAAGAAGAGGAAGAGGAGTAGAAGGAGGAGGAAGAGGAGGAGAAGGGGAGAGAAATGACAAACGCGAGGGCAATTTGAGAGGACTTCATGTGCTTGAGATCGGGTCAGGTACAGGGCTGGTCGGGATAATGGCCGCTCGCTTGGGCTGCAAGGTGACTGTCACTGAGTTGCCAGAAGTTTGTCAGAACCTTGTCCAGAATGTACGGCTGAACGAGACCAATCTCTTGCAATCTGATGGTTGTGTGGATGTAAGGAGCTTGAGGTGGGGTGAGATGGAAGACGTGGAAGCTTTTTGCAATAACACGCGGCAGAGTACTTCCGGATCATTGCCCGTTGATCTGATCGTTGGATCTGACGTCGTGTACTACGAGCATTTGTTTGAGCCGTTGATCTCAACGCTGAAGTGGTTGACTGACAAGAAGAGCAGTGCTCATATTGTAGCCGGCGAAGTTGGAGCACCAGAACGCAGAGGAGGAGGAGGAGGAGACGGTGATGGTGTACGAGTAAGAGGAAGTGGTAGGGGAACTGCGGAAAGAGGAGGCTGCGAAGGGTCGAACGGCTATGGTGTTGTAGTAGGGCATGTAGGATCAATAGGAGGAGGGGAAGGAGGGGGAGGAGGAGGGGAAGGAGAGGGAGGAGGAGGAGCGGGATGTGAGGGGTTAGTAGTAGGAGAAAGAGGCAGCGGATCAGGAGGAACAGGAGGAGGAGGACAAAGATCGGATGGCTATGGTGGTTTAGTGGGGCATGAACGATCAATAGGAGGAGGAAGAGGAAGAGGAGGCGAAGGAGGAGGGCGAGGAGGAGGTGGGAGAGGAGTAGGAGAGGGATGTGAGGGGTCAGGAGTAGGAGGAAGCGGCAACGGTTCAGCAGGAAGAGGAGGAGGAGGAGAAGGATCGGATGGCTATGGTGTCATAGTAGGTTGTGGACGATCAATAGGAGGAGCAGGGGGAGGTGGGAGCGGAGGAGGGAGAGGAGGAGTTGCAGGATGTGACATCTCCGTCAGAGATTCACAATTAGGCCGTGGAGGAGGAGGACGGCGAGGAGCTATGGAGGGAAAAGGAGATGGAGAAGGAAGTGATAGCTATGGCGGAATGGACCGTGCCGGGTTGATTTTATACGAGTCTTTGCGCTCAGGTTGCCCACCGGTCTTGATCGCTCACATGCGACGATGGAAGAAGGATGGCAAGTTCTTCCGAATGGCCTCTAAGTATTTCGATGTCGATCTCATTTACAAGCATCCTCCTCCGGACGGTGCTCGCAAAGGGGTTGAGATCTATTGCCTCTCTCGCCGCAAGCAAGGACATGGCGATCTGAGAAAGCAGCAGCCGTAGCTGAGCTTCTTCCAGCCATAACTGAGCTTCTTCTAGCCATAACTGAGCTCCTTCTAGCCATAACTGAGCTCCTTCTAGCCATAGCT